GTTATGAAAGATAAGGTTGAGCTACAAAAAAGTTGTATTAAGCTATACAAAAGCTATGTTGAGCCACAAAAAAGTTGTGTTGAGCCACACAAAAGCTATGTTGAGCCACAGAAAAGTTGTGTTGAGCCACACAAAAGCTATGTTTAGCCACAAAAAAGTTATGTTGAGCCATACAAAAGCTATGTTGAGCCACTGAAAAGTTGTGTTGAGCCACACAAAAGCTATGTTGAGCCACTAAAAAGTTGTGTGGAGCCACAACTCATGTTGAGCTAGCAGGCACTCTAGAGGAGTGCCTAGGTTGCAAACCAGTGAGTAACCAGGGGTTGTGACACTTAGTCACAATCTTGGCATGAGTATGGGAGATTAAATGGAGTCTAGAAATGGAATGGTGGGGAGGAGAGGATGGATTGGGATTAAATTATTTGACATAAAGTGATGAAGTTAGTACATATACTTTACTTTAGTTTAGAAAGTATAGTGCCAGCACCTTAGAATCAACACTTAGTGCCATCCGGGTCCAGGAACTAGTCCTAATATAGTATCTGCCCATACTGCTTTAGGCAATATGTTGGTGTATTACTCAGCAAAAACCTGCTTTTCACACACAAGTGCCAACCTCCTCACTCCACCCACATTTTGTCTCAACTTTAACAGCTGTTATAGAAAGAACCATATGCCTTGAGTGAAATCTGCTCTGTAAATGTGTTCTTTATATGTTTTAGGAGGATTATAAAGAAGGAATAAGTAAAATAATGATATGTGATGTTGTTGTTGCCTACCAAAAGTGTGGAAAGTTCGGTTGTCGTGAGGGTTGCTTCTAAGGTGCCGGCACCATACAAAATAGACAAAGTTTTTTTTATTTTTTATTTTATTTTTAAAAGTACCTAAACATGGATCTCAAATCCCGTAAGAATTTAGTATGGGTGCTCAGATGGGTACTGACATGCATAGACAATCTCCCATACAAATTTTTAATCCTTGGATTCAGGAACTTATTTCTTTTTTCTCTTTTTTCTTTAAAAAAAAACATTTTCCATTTCGCGCTTTTAAATTAAACTAAAGTATCTGCGCTTCTCCTCTCCACTCGAACCATACAATTTAAGCCCTACAAAATTTTCCTCCGTTTTCTCTCCTCTCAATAATCTTCCCCTCCATTTCCCTAAACCCCCCGTGTTCAGGTACTTCTTGCGGGGAACCTGTATGAGCGGGAGATTTTCCGGGGGTTGAAGTGGGTCGGATTTGCGGCAGGTTGGAATTGCTGGGTTCTTGATTTTTGGAAGTGTAGGGCGCTGCTTCTCTGTCCGTTGCAATAGAGGTCTTCTAGTCACCGGACAGAGCCCGAAACACACTAAACACACCCTAGCTCATAAGTTAAACCGTGGTTTGTAGGATAATTACCTTGAAAAAATTGATGTACCAAACATCCCCTTAATGATAGATTTGTCCAACCCCTCCCTGAGAGATCTTCCCGCTCAATCTTCTAGCCTTAGCGAGAACGTGGTTTAGCTCCTCTAAACATACAGTTCTCGCTGCTCCGTGTTGGTAATCCGGTAGCTGTAAATTAGGCTGAAATTCATACATCAACTTGGGGACCCGCAGGAAGTGTATAGTAGACTCGGATGGGGCAACTTTCTGATCACGCAGCCCAGGGGCGATCGTGTTTCTAATTACCAGATGTACTACGTGAAATATTCGGCTGCTACCCGTGTAGCAGGTTTGGATCATGCCCCTGGATTAAGATTCATCTATGGGATTAGACCTGCTCTGCAGCGATTCATTGTTCTAAGCTATCACAATATAGCTATAAAGGTTCACGTATTTTTTTTTTAGATTGTTTATTTATTTATTTCTAGCAATGCATCTAGCTGTTGTTGTATAATAGGGCCACACATCTGTTCACGATGCTCCCGCATCTCCAATGGAAACTTGGCGTACCCTCCCCTCCACCCCATACATTGGAGCAGTCATTTGCGTGAAGATTAGACCCACCAGTCTTTCCTGTACTCCCAGGCCTTATCGATTTCCTTCCCAATTTCCCATATGTCGCAATCGCGGTGGCCCCACTTCTCCGCAAAAACTGTCCGACCAGTCTTAATCCAGTGTCTCATCGCTTTTTCGAAGCCCTGAGTGTAGTTAGAAAATGCCAGCCATCTGAAGCTAGTGTTGTACAAGACGGAAATGATTACCACAGGGTTCCGATAGAAGGGTTCACCTTTCCCACCCCGTTGCTCGGCTTGCCAAAGATTTCGACCGTTTTTCGCTTCGCTCTTCGAACGCTGAAGATCGTCGAGACGCTTGCGCAGATACTTGAATCTCTCACTGTTCAGAGGCTCGTTCCCAGTTCCGGGATAAAAGACCGAAAGATCAGGTATGGTACCTCCTACGTCGAAAATATGCCCCACATTCTCATCGGTCGTAGTGTAGTTCTTCATGTGTAGTCTTGCATGAAAATCGCAATCCGTGCTGTAGAAGGGGATGTGAGTATCCCAACCGCCAACATCCATATAAGCAGCAACGTTGACCAAAGCCAGATGATCGTAAGCATAGAACTTAATGGCCCACTTTTCCGTCTTGTTTATGGAATTCCAGCTCTCAATGATCCTCTGGTAAAGGCTCCTGTACGGTTGTTTTTCCTCTTCCGAGAGCACAGCGGAATCCATATGGCTCCAGTAATAATGTCTCCAGCTCTTTCGAATGGCGGTGTAGAGAAAGAAATTTTGCAACTGGGCAAAAGAGAGCAAGGTGGGAGCGGTAATTATATTGACTCCCAACATCCTCAGCCTCGGATAGTCGATGAAGAAAGGATTCTGCAGCGTCAGCAGCCCGAGTTCATTGGAGTCCATGGTGCCAGTGTTATCCACGACATAGATATCGACAGGAGGCCATCCAGCGGTTATATAGCTAACGACGCATTGCTGTAGAATCGGCCAATTCCTTGTGAACCCGATTAAAAGTGGAGTAGGGTGATGAGATTTCGGAGGCTGATTGGCGGTGAGGATTTGCGGGATTCGACCGTCGACCGCAGCAGGAAAAATCTCAACTGAAGGCTTCGCATCCGGAATAGGAGTTCCGAAGGGCATTGAGGGGGGAGTAATGACCATTCTTTCTCCAGGAGGAACAAGAGCAATATATTCCAGGAGTAGGCCAAGAATAAGTAGCACCGCTAGAAAAAGCACAAGGTGCCTTCTCCGGACAGAGAGGGCGTATGCCATGGGGAGCTATCGCCAAATGCAGAGGTTTGCTCAAGGGGGGAGTGGGAGCAATGGAGGGGGTGGAGAGAGTTGTTGGCAGGGGGTCCCAACAGGTTAACATATAGTGGGTACACGCAAACTCCAACACCCGATGAATTTCGGGTGGGGCCTCGCTCACATCACGAGACCGTATCCACCGAGAGGGTTGTGCTCCGCAATTACTGATTATTTTTCGAAACCCTGACAAGTTTAAGTAATTATTTTATGTGGGGCAGTGCTCCTGGCTGGCGCTTGTCCGGTGTAGGAGCGGCTGGCATATTCACTGTTAGTTGGGCGGGCCTTGCTCCAGGAAAATGCATGACTGTGTTAGGATGCCAATCTGGCTGCGATCCCTTCTCTCCCCTCCCGTGTTCTGCATGTTCGATGAGGGAGGCGGGGGGAAGTCTGCAAAGGGGTATTCAAACCTGGTTTGTTCTGTTCCTGGACAGGAAATTTCAACATAATATTATTATGATAATTACAGCATATTTGAAACTACAGAAGTACATTGTTTCTCCCAAAACAGATTCCCGAACCCTTTGACCCGACCAAGGTTGCTATCGAGTTGTGGGCTGTCGTCCCTTGGTGGAGGGATATCTGGTGATGTTTGCCCATCCTCTAAGCTATGCGGGCCTCAGCCAGCTGGGGTTGACACACGATTGGTATGATAGAGAGGGCCATTAAATCCGTGACTCGACAACCGGAATTCTCCTCGAAAATCAACTATATTCAGTGATCTCTCATCACTGCGGCGTTAATTTTGAACCAAAACGCTAGTAGTGTTCGTTTGGGGGCGGGGCAGGGCGGGTTTTCACATGCTCGCCCCGCCACGTTGCGGGTGCGGGGTGCCTTCCCGCTCTCGTCTCCCGGGTCCTCACCGCCCCGCCCCCCGTACGGGGGTCATCGGTGGACCCTGACCGGGATCTCAGCCATACAATTGGCTGGGAGCACTAGCGGGGCCCGTACCAGGCCAGCGCCGGGGTGGGGCGGGGAGCGGGAACGCGGGCAGGGGCCCTGTAATGAGCTCTAAACACTAGAGCAGATTAGAGGACCTACGATATAAAAGCACCACACCCAATAATTCCCACCTAGGGCGGGGGGTTCTGTGGGTTTGCAGAACTGTGACTTAGAACATCTATTGGCCATCCGCCAAGTATGAGGAGTTTGTGCCTTTTACCTGACACTCCAGACTCCGATTAAGAGGTTATAGAAAAAAAGGAGGCCTGGCAGTACTAATTACTAATACAAGAAGACTACTAGTAGGGAGTAAAAATTGGCATGCTCCATCTCCATTACAACTCCGGTCATTGAAAAATATTTCCTATTTGGGAACAACTCAACACCAGAGAACTATCACCAGTTTTTCAGTCTCACACTGTAATGTGTTCACACCGGAGCGCTAATCAGGTCACTGAATACAATAGAAGCAAACCGACAATCTACCAGAGATCGATCGTTCCTAGGCTCGCTAAGGGAGGCTTCGGTGGTGTAATAGGAAAATAGAGATAGCCATTCAACCGAGTATATTAGAATACTATCTGTTGAAGTCTGCCTTTTTCCTTAGTGGGAAATGGCGGTCTTTTAAGTACATATGGTTGAGTGCGATCATGAATTCTCACTCATGTTCTTACTCAATCAATCCGTAAAACTAACCAAGTATCAACCAAGACTTGAAACAAAACATAAAATAAACTAAGTATCAACCGATACTTAAAACAAAATATAAAACAAACTAAGTATCAACCGATACTTGAAACAAAACATAAAACAAACTAAGTACCAAGTACCAGCTCCGGTTACATTCCCCAAAAAAAAACAAAAACCTCAAACAAACAAACTACTACCCAAACAAAGAAAGATAAGAAAGTTGAGTCTCTTCTAGCCCGTCGTTATCCTTGAACCCCGATCCGCACTGGCAGTTGTAAAAACATGTCGGTCCCCCAACACAACCCTCTCCTAATTCCGGTTCCCCACAGCTGCTGTAAACATAGTAGGTAAAAAAGCGCCAGGACGCACTTCTTATTGTAGGCTCTCTTTACCGATTTCCACCATGCGTTCATTGTAATACAGTCCATCTGGTTGCATCTGATTGTTTTTTTTTGTTTGACTCATTTAAATTTTTGTTTATGGGACAAAAAGGCATATGGAGCGCTAGCTATGACGCCTAAAAAACCGCCCCCCCCCGGACCAGGCCGAACGACAGAGCTAAAAGAACCCTCTGGGGTAGAAAAAACTACTCCCGCCCGTAATCCTTCCCGTGAACTGCTCCACCCAATAACCCCCACCGCCAAGCGACAAAAGAAAGCTAACTACCCGACAGTGAACCAAGAACCCGCCAAAACCCCAAGAACAAACACCTAAAGGCAGAAACCCAAACAGAACCCCTAAGGGCCAACGATCACAACTCAAATCCAATATAGGAACCCCTAGGCCATGTGACGAGGGCCAGGAGGAGGGAGCCGAAGCCCTGGACGCGAAGGGTATAAGGGAAACCACCCCGAAGGCGGCGACCGAGAAGTGAGGAGAGGAGGTGTGTGGCAGGCGTGCCAGCGACCGTGTGTCCTCCGGGACGTTCGACGATTGAGGCAGTAAGGTGCCAGCTTGAGAGGAGGTGGTAGTAGGGTACCAGCCGATCCGACCA